CCTGGAACCAGCATCCTTTCTGTTAGCAGCTGTGTACGCCTCCTAAAAGGTTAGCATGCTGCTTTAAAAACCAAAGTTAGAAACTACATTTGTTTCTCGTCGATCCCTGCAGAGAGTGATGGAGACATACGCTGCGGTGACCAGGAAGAAAGCTGTGGTTCAGCTGATGGTGGCGGGGCTTTTAAGTGTAGCTGCCTTAGCGTTGTGGTTTTCCTTATCACTTGTCTATGCCTACATAGCCTAGAGGTAACGGAAGATGAGCAAAAGCCGGATTCTTATTTTGAAATGCCCGTGCCTCGACTGAAGGCTGTCATGTCACAGAGCATAGGCATTTGCGCGTTTTAAGGTGGAGGCAGGGAGGTGGACTGCGGAAACGGAACACACTGCAGCGAGTGCCGCAGTGCCATCTGGGTGCTTGCCGGGACCACTTGGGAAATGGCCTCTCAGCCATCGCCTGCCTCTCTTCCCACTCTTGTAGCTTATCTTGCTGGATTCTTGGCAGAATGCAAGACTCTGTATGCAGTAGCTTCTATGCTTTCATTCAAAGTAACAATATTCAAAGATTTCAAAGTAATAAAAATGCCCCAAACTTACTGAAATGAGGTTCGACCTGACATGGAGTTTGTTCTGTGGATGAGCCAGGGAAAGGGTGTGGGAGAAGCTGTGGGAAAGTCAGTTGGTGACTTGAGCCTGAAGTGACCGGGTGTTTTGCCTTTCGTTTTCATGTTTCCTCCCAGGGGTCGGCACCCGAAATTACTACCGAAAGATTGGCTACAGGTTACAAGGGCCGTACATGGTGAAGTCGCTGCGATAACCACAATGGCTGCCGGAGCCCAAGCTTGTACATACTCCCCCTCTGTGAGGACCCCCGCACTGCCCCCTGGCAGGAGTGTCACCCTTCCTCTGCAGATGCTGCCCCGAGAAGCCGCCTCCACGGTCAGGGATGCTGACCTGCCTCCGCACCCCGGCACGTGGAGCTCCCGCTCAGCCCTCCTGCGTGTTCCGAAGCCGTCACTTCCGCTTCTGAGACTTAAGTTGTACCCAGTCTACCAGAGGCCTGCGGGTGCCGTCATCTTATGTAGACGCCCTGACAAAAGCAGCTTGATCCCACATGTACCCCGTAATTCAGGAAATAAAAATAAAAGAGTAAGCATTGTTCTCATTGGCAGTTGCCATCGACCTGTCTCAGACCCATGGCCACCATTCTTGGTCCCTTGCCATCATGGGTTACGTGGTGTATTGATTGAAGGGATGAAAAATGAGGCTGGGACACAGGACAAGTGCCAGACTCTGATCTCTGACTTAGGGCACAGATATGTAAGTATTTGAGCAAAAGTTAAGAAAATGGGCTTTTGTTGTAATGGAAATCACTCTATGTGCTCTGCTGGTGTTTGGAAATAGCAGGGTGAGGAGAAGGAGGAACTGAAGTGGGGGGGGGTGTTTTAAGGGAGATTGCAATCCTCCACCAGCCCCCTCCCCAGGGGGTCTGGCAGCTAGACAGGCTGTTACAGACGTCCTGTATTTCACGCTTTATTGTCTATACGTCCCACTCTTGACAACTGCAAGCGGGTGAGGCTGCCACAAGTAGGGGGCCGAGAGTGGCCTTTTATCCCGAGCAGCAAGGCCCGACATGCAGGTGTCTGTAGCTACATGCTGCTGTCACGATTTGCAAGCCGATTCCCTGCTTTCTAATTCTTTACGATGGATTTTCGTCTGTTTGTTTTAAATGGAAAAGGCTCACCTCATGTAAAATTGTTTGTTAAGGGGGAAACAGGCGCGATTCTAAAACTAGGGGAAAGATGGGTTTTTCCCAAGGTTCATTCTATAGAATTGCCTCTGAAAGGTCTAGGTAATCTGCTAAAGATACTCAGCCAGGAGGGGTCAGTTCTTAAGGTAAGAGCATGGATTAACCCAGGCCCCTTCACTTGCATGACATTTTATAGAGCTTTATTAAATGGAATGGATTCTC